CTTGACCCAATCAAGGGGGGTGCTGGTGCAGATTATGGGAGGAGGCCCCTTTGCTCAACCCCCCCCCCCCCGCCAGATACCCCCACAGCCTGGAGGCCCTCCCAAGGCTGGGCCATGCAAGAGAATCAAGCTTCGGGGGAGGAAGGAGGTGATCCTGAAACAACGAGGCCCAACGAGAGGGAGTTGTTGCCAGGGAGGATGCACCTCCTTGTCTTTAACTGCTGAGCTGAGCAGTCCTCCCCAAGAATCACGGGAAAGTGGATATTTTTGGAAATGCTTCCCATCCCTTTGAAGACTGGGTGCAGCAGGAGTGGCATAAGGGGAAGGCCCAGAAGTCCTGGCAGCATCTCATCAGTAAATCAACTAATTAGCGCCTGATGATGAGGCACAGCTCTGGGTTCCCACCCGCTCCTGATTGCATGGCTGGGCGCGCTCCTCATCTGGCCCTGGGGCATCAGGAAAGGGGACTCTTCCAGCCCTGCCCTGAAATGCCGACCTCATGTCAAGGGACCATCACCCAGCTCTTTTCCTGGGGTCACAGAGAGAAGAATGAGGAAGTCTAGAGAGCACCTCACCCCAACCCTTCACCCTCCCACAGGTGGAGAAACAGAGGTCCAGAGAGGGCCTGTGCCTAGGGTTCCTTAATCAGTTACAGGCAGAGCTGGGACTAGAACCCAGGATTCCTGGCTTCCACTTAAGGCAGGGACAGCAAATTGAGTAGCACGTGCCCAGGCACTAACGCCTGAAAACACTTATTTGGGACCTGTCAAGTAACCCCTGGGGACAGGAGTGGAGGGAGCTTGTGCGAGTGGCCGGGGCTGGCTGCAAAGGTGGGCAGGGCTGGGACCACAGAGGGCCTGGCAGGCCCTGTTCAGGAGCACGGACTTGACCACAGAGGCAATGGGGGACCACAGAGGGCTGACTCCAACTGAGGCCTTGATAGTGGGGGATTGATGAATCCAGGGCTAGGGTTAGAGATCAGGACTGGGGCAGTGGCATTGGGGAAGGAGGGCAGGAAGAGTCGGGCATGAGAATCACTTTAGAAGTGGTACTGACAGGCCTGGTGCCACGGTGAGGGGGAGGGACCTGCTCCCGGATTCCCTCACCCGCCGATTCGCCAGCCCCAGTGCTGCCTCCGTCCTGGGAGCTCCAGAAAGACTGAGCACACAGCATTGTGAGTGGGGCAGTGGGCAGGTTCTGGCTTCCCAGGTTCTGACTCTGCATGCAAGCTCTCTAACCTTGGGCAGGTTATTAGCCTCTCTGTGCCTCGATTTCCTTATTGTAAGGTGGGTGCTACTAAATTGGAGGCTGGCTGACTGTGCATCCCCGGACTCACCTCTTTGACTTACGCGACCTCCTAGGCCCATCTCTCCTTCTTCCTACTCTCATTTCCTCTTAGTCCCCACACCCTTCCCGGTGTTTCTTCTCCTTCTCTTGGGTCCCTCCTATGGCCAGGACATGGTTGCAGACACATGAATCCACTGGATCTGGCTGTTCCAGCTTCCTGCCTTGCCTGAACACCTCCCAGGGAAGGGCCACAGTCACACACCAGGCTGGGCCAGGGATAAGAGGGGGGAAAATGTCCTGGAGACCACGCAGTGAGTGAACCCCCTGGTGGCTACGGTCACCCCCCGGTATCCACTTGGGTCTGAGCTCAGGCCCACCAGGCAGGAAGGGCCCCGACCCCAGGGATCTGGGCCCCCACCCTCCCTTGGACAGGTTAGGGCCTCTGGCCTGCAGCTGTTGCCCTCTTGATAAGCAGGGACCTGAGTCATTGACAGAGGACAGTAAATTAATTCTGAGGTGACAGGTGGTATAGCAAAGAGCTGCAAAGCCTGGCAGTGGGGGTTCAGGGCCTCAGGGGTGAGGTATCTACATGGAGATCAAGTGTCTGAACAGACCCTGGGTCAGTCCCGCCCCACTCCCACCTCACCTATGAGCCTGGGATGCAAGCCAAACCCCTGCCTGTGGATCTAAAACTCTGGGTCCCCCACCTCCTGGCTGGAGGGCCCTGGGCAGGTCACCTCAGACTCAGGGTTCTCATGTGCAAAGTTGGGACTGCTCTGATGATTCCTGCCCTACCTCATGGGGCTGTTGCAGGCTCAAACAGACTAACCTGAAGTTTGTTAACTACAGTAGAAAGTGTCAGACAGATCTGGATGCAAATTCCAGCTTTACCCCTTGCCCACTGGTGGTGTTGGGTAAGTTCCTTAACTTCTCTGAGCCTCAGAGGACTTAGTTATACAATGGGTGATAGTGTGTTCCAGCAGCATTGTAAGAATCAGCAGGAATGAGCACAGAGTGCCCAGCAGGGCACAGAGCTGGCCTTTGGCAAATAGTGGCTGTACCCATGAGAGGTATTAGAGTTACTATTATCATCATCATTTCCCCCACCTCCCAGCAGATGGCCCACCCTCCACCTTGTTCCTTACTTGTGGTGTTGTAGCGGACACCGTAGAAAAAGGCAGGGCAGGGCCGAGCCACCAGCTGCCCCGCTGGGCTCTGGGGCCAGCAGGTGCCGATGAGGTCCACGGACGTGTTGCACTGCAGTTCTGGGGGCAGAGATGGCTGGTGAGGCAGAGCAAGAGTCCTGCCCACCTCCCCACTGGTTCCCATCCCCACACCAACTGGGAACAGGACAAGAACAATAACCCCGATACAGACGTGAGCTTGTTCTATGCTGGGGAGACACCAGGGGAAGAAATCTGAGTTTGATGCTATGGAACTAGGGAGCCAGTGTAGGTTCCAGAGCAGAGGAGGAGATGGTTGGGGGTGATGTTAAAAGCTAAGGTCCTGGCCGGCATTGGGAGGATGGCTGGGGGTGCTTCAGGTCCCCTACTCTGTAGCATGAGGATGCTTCTGTCGGTCCCTCATTTGGTGATAGACTGGAGCTCTGAGACTTCATGGGAACATTCTAGAACAGGCCCAACCAACCCCAGACCCAGCCGCCTCACATGTCTCTGGAACCAAAGCACATCTACCCTGGCCCTGCAGGGAAGAAAGAGCAAAGTGAAGTTTTTCCAGCTTCCAGTTGGCCTGATAACCAAACTTACTGAGCATACCCTGTGCTCTGGTCTGTGCTGAGCCATGAGAGGATCGACTGAGAAAGGGAGGGAGACACCATTTGGGGGAGTGGAAAGAGTACTGAACTGGGAGTCTGGGCCCATTGCTTCAGAAGGAGTTCTGCTACTAATTTGTTGTGTAACCATAGGCAAGTCACTTGCCCTTTCTGGGCCTTACTGTCTTCATCTATAATAAAATAAAGTGGTTGGGCTGGACCAAAAATTCTTAATCTCAGTTCATTGGAGGCTTCAGTGTTCATAGAGACCCTGAATATAATGAAAAATTTGGTGTATGTATTTTAATTGGGAAGGGGCCCATTGCTTCTTGTTAGATTCTCAAAGCGGTCTGTAACTCAAAAGAGACATAAACAGCTGAACTAGGGAGAGGATGTCAAAGTCCCCTGCCAAATATTTTCCCTTATTCAAAGAGCTTTTTGGAGTAAATGTGTGTGTGTGCACACACGCGGGTGTATGTATGTATGTTGGGGCTGAGTCAAGGACACAGTGACACTTCAGAAGGGTAGGAGGGATACGGTCTTCAAGGGGTGGGGTCTGAGCACCCCTGGCACAGTCCTGGCATCCCTTCTGATGCTGTCCCTGCTTTCTCTGCTTTCATGCCCTTCTCAGCATGAGGCCGGTACACCAGCGTCCCCATCAGGGCATGAGGGGGTTAATAACCTGGAACTGGCACAAGAATTCACAGACAGGCCAGGGAGAGCTATGAACCAATGGGAGTCAGGGGCAGCCCTGCATTAGCAGCTGCCAAGCCCTGGTTGGGGCCTGCCCGCCATTTCCTGCCCAAATTAGTCTGTCCCAATCTCTCAGGAAACAGCATTGGGTTAAATTGGCTTCTTTTCCCTACTGGACTCAGGGTAGTGCGGAGCAGCGCCATTTCCTGCCCAAATTAGTCTGTCCCAGTCTCTTGGGAAACAGCATTGGGTTAAATTGGCTTCTTTTCCCTACTGGACTCAGGGTAGTGCGGAGCAGTGCTTGTACCATATGGCTGTTTTTCTTTCTAATCAAAACTATTCACAGGGTGTTCCTGCAAATCAGGGCTCAAAGAGAACAGGCCTTAAGGTCAAGTGACTTAATTGAAAGAGAAAGAAATCTGGATTGGGGCTTAATAGATCTGAGGAGATGGTGGGCCAGTGGTTGGAGTGGGCAAAACCTGGGGCTGTGACACAGTGGAGTCTCCGTGAAATATCATCACGAAGTGTGCCAGGTTGGGATTTTATCAGTCATAGATCATGCTGATAGCACTGAGCCCCAAGGCTGGGGGAAGCTGGAGGCATGTGGCCATGGAGGTGGGGGGATAACATCATGAACCGTGCACTGCGACTTCAAAGCTCTTCTTTATCTATTTTGTTTGATCTTCATGTGTCCTGCAATGTCATTATTCCCCTTTTACAGATGGGGAAATTGAGGCCCGGGGAAGCTAAATGACTTGCCCGAGGTCATGAGTCAAAGTGTGAAAAAAAAAAAAAAATCAAGACTCATAGCCAGGTGTTTTTGGCTCTAAATCAAGTGCTGAGTACCCTACGTTTTGCAAAGAAATAAGTCAAAGGGGGTGGGGGGACGGTCAAGGAGGCAGCAGAGAAAGGAGCAGCATTTATTGAGGCCATACTGTGTGCCAGGCACATGCCAGGTGCTTTACATATACCACCTCATTTAATGACAACATCACACCTCCCCAGAAGGTTGTTCATTCATTCACTCACCCATTCGTTCACAGCATGTACTGACCTAGGCACTGGGAAGATAAATGGGATGTCATGTGTGGCAGTGTATGGAACGGTGCCTAACACACCCTCTCAGTGTGGCATCTGGCCTCCCTCCCTTCCCTGGGCAGTTCCCCAGATCCCCCTCTGCCAATAACAGAGCGTAGGGAAGGACTGGGCACCAGCCACAGCCAGGACCAGGCCAGAACCAAGGTAGAGGGTGGCCACTGAGCGTATGGGCCTCCTGGCCCGGAGGACCCAGCACCTGCCAGCGCCCTGTGCTCAAGGGCTCTAATCACAGTCCCGCCCGGCCCACAGCTGGTCCCGGGATATGGGGACCCATACGGGGGTGGGCAGCGCAGAAGGCTATTTACCCCTGGTCTGTGGTTCGGATCCGGTGGTACCTCCCATGGGTCTCACACCACCTCCCAACGTGGGTGCTAATCCTCCCAATTTTACAGATAAGGAACTGAGCAGTCAAACGGCTTATCCCAAAATACTAAGTGTCCAAAGATTCGAAGAGGCAGAAGTGGATTCTGAACGCTGGTCTTTTGACGCCAGCCCAGGGCTCTTCCCAGGGCTCCACAGCGGGCGCCAGTCCGGGCTCCTGTCCCCTGCGGCTCACGAAGGCTGCCTGGAGGTGGCGCCGGGAATCCAGCCGCAGACGCGAGCTTTGCATTAAGAGCCCAGAGAACCCTGGAGGGAATGCAAGTCTGTGCGAGAGACGGGAAGAAGGAGGGAGGCGGCAACAACGAAGAGGAGCCAAACGAAAGGGGTCAGGACCCAAGGCCCCGCTTTCCCAGAGTAAAAGGCCGGGGCGCCCGCCGGGGGCAGGGGCTGGGGGCGGGGTCCAGGGAAGGGGTGGAGCTACGCGGGGCGTGGCCAGAGGTGCGCGAGCCAATCCGGAGTGGCGGCTGGGCTCAGGCGACGAAATACACGCTAAACACGCACAGGGGCGTGGGACACGTGGTTTTAGCGAGCAGGAGGAGCCGGGAGAGGCGGGAGAGAAGCGGAAAAGAAGGTGGAGGACGAGGGGACCAGAGGCCCGGCCTGGGACTGCCTGCGGGGCACGGCGCCTTCCAGCAATGTGTCCTGCCTCGGGGCGTTCGCACCTCCCGCTCCGGGCCCTGCAGACACCGGGTCCGGGAAGAAGGAGTACGAGGGTCCCTGGGGACCCAGGAGAGACAGGGCCTAAAAGGGAACGGTCGTATAGGACGAGGCGGGACGGGAGGAAATGAACATGTGTTTACCACCACGACCACCGTATACCAGGCACTGTGAAGGGGGCTTTGCATGACGAAATTCGTGCCACTCACTCAATCCACCCAACTACTCTTTGAGGAGGAGAAAAGAGAGGGGGAGGGGGGAGTGGAAATAGGAGACAAGAAGACAGCAAGGGTAAAACAGGGAGACGCAGAGGGAAAGCCACGAGAGAGAGGTACGGAGAAAGATGATGTCAGAGGTGCTGGGGATAGGGAGGCGGTCGATCTCCTGGCTAGGAAGGGGAGACGGCAGGAGGAAGCCAGTCTTCGTGTCACTCAGCCTGGTGGCTATCAGGACCTCAAGGTTAGGGCTGTTGGCTGTTGGATTCTGATTCTTGGCCCACGTCCCCTCAAGGTCCCACTGCCACAAATGCTCAACGTCTTCTGCTCTCCTGGGGGCTATCTTCCCGGGTATCATCGTTCTGGGGTGAGGAGCAGTTTGGACCAGGATAAGCCAGCCTTGCAAATAGCCAAACAGATTTACTAGCCAGCTGCACGAAGGCGGAGCTGCTATTACGAGCCGAACCTGGCCCACAGCCCCCTGTCCCACAGCGCCCCTCCTGGTCAGGTTAGGTACAGATAGGGATACTGATAACTTGGCTCTTTAACAAGTATTCTAGAGGCTGGGGACACGGTAATGAATAAAATAAATGCCCTGCCCTCATGGGGCATTATAGAATCATTATAAAATGATTACATTCTAGTGGGGAGATAATAAGCAAGCAAACAAACACATATCTGTGAACCAGTGAGAAATGCTTTGGAGAAAAACTGAGCAGTGTAAGGAGATAAAGACTGACAGGGGTACTATTTTGATTTAGTGGTCTCTAAAGTACTAACATTTAAGCAGAGAACTAAAGGAAGGGAGGGAGGGAACCGTGTGTATGCCTGGGGGAAGCGTGTTCTAGGCAGAGAAAACAGCAACTACGAAGGTGCTGAGGCGGTATGTGCTTGGTGTGTTTGAGCTGCTGGCATTCCCATCATCTGGTGGCTCACTGCCTCATTCACAGGGCAGCTAGATCTCTGAGCATTTTGCCTGGGGGTGGGGAGAGGTGGAATCAACCCACTCACCAGCCCTGGTCACTACAGGCTTTCACGTGGGAGGGAGTCAGGTGAGCTAATGTAATGTATAAAACTGGTCCTCCATCTTCCTCCTTCCCCAAACATGCACAAAGCAAATGCACAGGGGCCCACACTGTGATTTCTCATGGGAGCACTGGGGACAGACTGCCCCAGATCATTGCAAAGGGAGGGAAGAGAGGAGGGGAGCAATGTGGAGGGCTCCCACCTGCCTCTGGAAAATCCCTTCTGTGTTCGGTTCCTGGGGAGCCTGCTTTAATGGATGGATAAGAATCCTTTGAAGGTAGTCTACTTACTGCCTGTGCACAATTGCGCACTGGTTTCTTCCCCCAGGTAGGTTACACAGTTCGCCTCCCATCAGGCTTAGGGTCCAAATGTGCTCAGTAGATCCTCCCATGCTAAATAACTTCAGAGGGAGATTGGAACCTGGCTCCCGTCCCAGTGATGCCAGTGCTCCTGTCAGAGGCTGCTAAATGAACTACAAGGTAGGCAGGCACTTGGCAGCAGCTCTGCAGCTGGGAAGCCCATCCCCCTGTTTGGTTTAAACCCAGGAGAGGGACTCAGTCAAGGCTGCCTAGAGAGAGCAGCCAGGCGGCCCAAGGGCAGTCTCTGAAACACACATTCTTGTCCTTTCAGAGGAATGTATTGCTGGGATGAATGGGCAGGGGTTATGCCTGGGTCACCTGGCATGGACAGGGTGGCAGAGGGCAGGCAGAGAGTCCTGGTCTTTGCTTGGCCACCTCGTGGTTGAGCTGCTTCCTCTTTGGCTGGGCAAAGCAGAAAGTTGAAGGGCGTGTGACACATCAGGATAAGTGCATGTGAGCCTCTTGTGTGTTTGTGGGCTCTTTGTTTTTGAATTCCCAATACCTAGTACAATGCCAGGCACATAGTAGGTACTGAGGAAAATTTGGGGCCATGTGCAAACCTAATATGGGTACGGGAAACTGCAGGGGTGACACTGCACCCCAAATAACTGACCACATGGGGCCCTGGGCACTGTGGCTCTCTGAGTGGCTCTACAATGTGGTGCTGGTGGTAAACTCTGGAATCAGGCCCACTTGGTTCAAGTGTTGGGGCCACTGTTTAGTAACTGTGTGTGCTTGGGCAAGTTACTTAACCTCTCTGAGCCTCAGGTTCCTCTTCTATAAAGTGGGGATAAAAATACTTCCTGACAATATTGTTGTGATGATTGAATGAGAACAAAGCACTGAGAATGGAGTCCAACACGTAGTGGGAACTATATAATATTAGCTGTTATTATCATTTTCTACCTTAAGGGGATAGAAACTAATGACCCCAGGTCCTTGTCAACTCTGATTCTATTTGTCTGTGATGTCATTAATCAATAATTTTATTACTTTCTGGCATTGAAATACTCCTGCCATGATTGTATAAGTTGTCATCTGTGATCTGCCACATGGTAGAGCCTCAGCTCTGGAGACCCACCCACTCCCTGCTCCTGGCATGAGGCATGTGAGGGGCCCCCCACAGGCTCTGGCTCAGTGCCAGCTGCCCCAGCCAAACGCCCATCCATCTGTCCCGGCCCCTCTGCCCCACCCTCACCATCTGTCTCTACCAGTGCCCATCGGCCTGGGTAGGTCTCAGCCTCAGAAGACAAATGGCCCGTTATCAGAGCTGTTGTGGAAGGTGATGGATCGCGTACCATGATGCCAGGCAGGCTGGGCCAGGCTGGGAGTGGGGGCACAGAGTACAAATCACCAGGGAATGAATGCCATTCATCATGGCCTGCTGCCTCCAAGGACAGGTGACACCTGCATGGGCTCGGAGATGTCCCTCCTCCTGAGCACAACAAGCAAGTTAATGAAGCCTGACCTGGCCCCTGGCAGGAAGGGCTGGGGGTGGAGCCTTTCCTCTCAGGTCCAGCCTCTGAGCAGGTCTCCTTCCTCCCCATCTCTCTCTGCTAGAACTCCAGACTCCTGCCCGAGAACTTACTTCCCCGTTCCCCATGGCCCAGCTCAGCCAACTCTGCAGCCTGGTGCTCCAGGCTCCCAGTGCCGCCCCCCAGGCTTACCACTCCTCCCTCCAAGTCCCTCCCTGTCCTTCCACCAGACCCACCTACTAGTCCTCGGTCAACTCTTGCTTTGGCTGAGGACACTGGCTCTTCTCGCCCAGTCCACACTCAAGAGTCTCTCTTAAAACTCACCTTTGAGACCTCCTCCTTCAGGAAGCCTTGTTGGATTTGCACCACCCCTGTCCTAACCTCCCCGCCACCTCCATCATAGGGAGCAATTTGTGACAAGTATCTTCCCTTCATTCCAGCTATACCGTAAGCACTTTTAAAAGCCTACTGATGTTACCAACAATAACACCCAGTAGTGGCGTGGCCTCACAATGAACCCCTCCCGCCTCCTGCTACACACTTGTGTCCATTTCTCTGTTAGCACGTGTCTTGCGCTCTGCCTTACAGTACATGCGTTTATTCCAGGACTTGACTCCTGCACCAGACTGTGCATCCTTCTTTCTTCCCCCAGTGCCTTGCATGGGATATGCTGCATAACAGGTGCTCAGTTAATGAGTCGGAGTGAATCAAGGAGAGACTGGAAGAGGAAAATCAAGGATCAAAGGAGCCTCCCAAAGACCCTCAGGTGCAGGACGCCTTCTCCATTTTTGCCCAGCAGCAGCCGTCCTCGGGACCACACTCAAAGTTAGAACAGGCATGGCCTCAGGAGCCCAAAGACCTAGACTTGGGTCCTAGCCATTGCCACGTACTGGCTGTGTGGTCCTGGGAGAGTTATGTAACTCTTCCGTGCCTCAGTTTCCTCATCTGTACAAATGTCAGGTTTTAAACTCCCGTGAGGATAAAATAATTATCGCAAAGCACTTTGTAAATGGTAAAGTTAGCCAGTATTTTCTATGGAGGAGGTATAGAGCTTGGTATTGAAGAGCACACCAGAAGCCAGACTGCCTGTACTCCGCTCAGCGCTCCGTCACTTTCTAGTGCTTCTCTGTGCTTCAGTTTCCCTAGGTGCAAAATGAGGCTCACGTTGAAGAGCACACCAGAAGCCAGACTGCCTGTGCTCCGCTCAGTGCTCCGTCACTTTCTAGTGCTTCTCTGTGCTTCAGTTTCCCTAGGTGCAAAATGAGGCTCACAGCACCTAGCTCAGGAGGACATTGTGATAATTGGGTTAATATATCTCAAATTCCTGCAACAGTGCCTGGTGCGTAGTTAGCATCACACAGTGTTACACTTTGGGCCTTTTTAGCAGCAGAAAACAGCAGCCTCTCTTCCTCGCTGGATGCATCCCTGAGTCACAGCCCAGCAGCAAGGTCTGAGATGCCTTCCCCTGTTGCCCACCCTAAAGCAGGAAAATAACTACTGGGCTTACTTTCTGATGTTCCTCCTGTGCCCACGGCAGATGCTGTTAACTTAATCGCAGCTCTTTCCCACCAAACTTACACCCAGCTTCAGGATCCTTCTCAACACAGCACTTCACGGAGACATGACGAAGTGCCTGGAGCCCTGGAGAGGAAATCTCCCTGCTATTCCTGCCTTAGGCTCTGTGCGCAGGCCCTGGGAGACCTGGAATCTTGCAGGACGGGGTTGGGGGCACTCACCGGAGATGTTGCTGGCAAGGGACAGGCTCTCACAGTGCTGGTCCTGGAGGGAGGCGGACACAGGGTTCAGCCCCAGAAGGAGAAGGGCCTGTGGGCACAGGGAGATGAGGGACAGTTAGGCTGGTGCCATGAGCAGTGTGGCCTGCAGCTTCCTGCCTCCCCTCGCTTCCGCCTCTTAGTCCAGTCTCTTCCCAGACACTTCTCACAGTCTCCTCCCTCTCCTCCCCCCTTGTCCTCTCTGTCTGGAAGATCTGGAGCTCCCCTGCTCTTGGAGGGGCCTGGTAGGGAGGTGGGTAAGTGAAGGAGCCCAAGCTCCAAGGGCAAAGGTGAATTTTATCCTCGGGGCTGGGACCTCCAGCGAGGCTCTACCAGAGGAAGCCACCTCCATGCCATGGGATCCCCAAGCATTGCCCAACTGTGTCCCACCACACACACACACACACACACACACACACACACACACACACACACACACACACGCTGTTAACTTAATCGCAGCTCTTTCCCACCAAACTTACACCCAGCTTCAGGATCCTTCTCAACACAGCACTTCACGGAGACATGACGAAGTGCCTGGAGCCCTGGAGAGGAAATCTCCCTGCTATTCCTGCCTTAGGCTCTGTGCGCAGGCCCTGGGAGACCTGGAATCTTGCAGGACGGGGTTGGGGGCACTCACCGGAGATGTTGCTGGCAAGGGACAGGCTCTCACAGTGCTGGTCCTGGAGGGAGGCGGACACAGGGTTCAGCCCCAGAAGGAGAAGGGCCTGTGGGCACAGGGAGATGAGGGACAGTTAGGCTGGTGCCATGAGCAGTGTGGCCTGCAGCTTCCTGCCTCCCCTCGCTTCCGCCTCTTAGTCCAGTCTCTTCCCAGACACTTCTCACAGTCTCCTCCCTCTCCTCCCCCCTTGTCCTCTCTGTCTGGAAGATCTGGAGCTCCCCTGCTCTTGGAGGGGCCTGGTAGGGAGGTGGGTAAGTGAAGGAGCCCGAGCTCCAAGGGCAAAGGTGAATTTTATCCTCGGGGCTGGGACCTCCAGCGAGGCTCTACCAGAGGAAGCCACCTCCATGCCATGGGATCCCCAAGCATTGCCCAACTGTGTCCCACCACACACACACACACACACACACACACACATGCTCTCCCACCTGCCTGCTGAGCACTGCAGACTCACAGACCTTCACTAATGCACCTGCCTCCCTCTCCACCTCCAGAGATGTAGGCGCTCCTGGCCTCTTGTTTAATGAGCTGCTCCCTGAGCCCTCATCCCTGCCTGGCTAATTACCTATCACTACAAATTGTGCCTCATGGTTTATCAAGCCCTTTTACATCTGCAAGGACACTTTATTCTTCTTGGCGCTGGTGTGGCTGTGCCTATTTGCAGATGAGGAAACTGAGGCTCAGAGAGGTGAAGGGATAAGTGTGTCTGGAGAGATGGCTGTCCTATTCCAGGGAGAACATTTGCCCTTTAACCTCCCCGAGGGCTCTATGTCACTCTCATTTCAGAATTTCAGACCACTTGGGAGGAGAGTGGCATGGGCCCCATACCTGGAGGGCTGCCCCTTCTTCAACAACATCCTCCTGCAACCATTGTGTCCCCTCCCTTGAGGTCACCACCCTCCCTACAGATTTAAAGTCACAGAAACCTGGGGTCTAGCCCCAGTTTTGCTGTGTTGCTACGGGCAGGTTACTTGCCCTCTCTGTGCTTCAGATGCCTCACCTGAAAGCCCTCCCACGCTTACACGATGCAATGTATGCAGAAGTGTTTTGTAAATGGCACAGCATGCTGCATGAGGACAGGGATTTTGTTTTGTTCGTGGCACTCATATTTACTGATAAGTTAATGAATGACATTGTGTTTCAGGTATATAATAGGCACTCAATAAGGCCATGTTGACTGGTTTAAACTTGGTGGTTTTTATTTAGTCAAGGGTTGGAAGAGAGGAGGTTGTTTCTCCCGGGGTTTGACTTGCAAGGGGTTAAGAAGCACGGGGAGGTTGGGGAGGGGGAAGCATTGTAACCGCCCCTCCCCCCAGCTGTGGGTCCTGGGCACCCAGTGACTAGCATGCTCTGTCACCTGATCAGGATGGTGAACCTGAAGCTGCTCTCGAGACTCTTCACCACCCCTGCTCCCCTGCTCTTCCTTCTGGGGCCCCCTCCCTCTGACTCTCTCCAGGGCCCCCTGGCCAGGGTGCACAGCCTCTGCTCATTTCCACACTGTGTGCAAAACTCACGGCAGAACTTCACACACAGACTCTTAGCTCTGGAAGCTGTCTCAGGACTTCACAATGGAAAAATGAGACCGGGAGAGAGGCAGGGGCTCGCCCCAGTCACTGAGCGAGCAAGTTGCTAGTGTAGACTAAAGCCGGGTGCTGGCCAGCTCACGCAGCAGCCCGTAGCCCTCATGCAGTGCTGGGACTGGGTGAGGAGGGAGCAAAAGTTAAAGGACTGTCAAAAATCTAGTAGACAAGACATGTGCTATTTTAATGCAACGTATTTTTTTAAACCTAAGTTAGTGACCCCCAATCCATGATGAACAAAATATCAAGAACTTAAAAAAAAAAAAAGCAGGCCCAGTAACAGTGCTGGGCCATATTGGTGCTTGGGGCAAAAGGAGAAATCAGTAGTAATATTGAAAGGTTATTTATCATGACGGCTGAGGTTTCTGGCGCCTCTGTACATGTCGTGCTTGAGGAGAACGCCTGGCTCGCCCCACCCTGGTCCACCCTGCCCATGTGCTTTCCCCAGCAGGACCCCACCGCCCCTGCCCCGTGGCTGTCCGTCCTCCCTTCCCCTCGACTCTTCCCCACTCACCCTTTCCGGACCTCAGGACCCTCTCCCTATCCTTAGAAGCAAACTAACCCACGCTTTTCCGAAGGCCAGCTTTCTGTGCTCACTTGGAGGGAAGGTCCTCCCTATCCCAGCCCACCAGGGTCATGCATCTTCACCAGTACCCACTCCTTTCCACTCCTGTCCTGATGATGATGGCAGGCTCTGCACCCCTCTCTCCCTCCCAATAGAGTAATCCCCACCCCTGCTCAGAGTCTGGTCCTGCCCCCACCTGCAGGAAGCACCCTCGACCCTGATGACTCACCCGCATTGTCCTCTCAGTGACACGCCTGAGTCCTTCGTGGGCTTTGTGTACTCCATGCCCTCGCTGGTGCACTCCTTCTGTCATGTCATAGGGGGTCTCTCTGCTCTCATGGGACCAAGCTCCAGGCTCCCAAGCACCCCCCAGCCCTGTACCCCCTGTCCTATGCTTGGCACTCGGGACACTCAGCACACAGTGCTGGGGTTAGCTAACTTGCTCTAGGGACTTGGGAGTGATTATAACAAACCCTGTCCTATGCTTGGCACTCGGGACACTCAGCACACAGTGCTGGGGTTAGCTAACTTGCTCCAGGGACTTGGGAGTGATTATAACAAACCCATTCATCTCTCTGGCCCCAAGGAACTTCCAACACTTTATTAATCAGTAATTAAACCTCCCAGTCTCCAGAGAGATGGAGAAATATCTTTACCCTCATTTTCCAAATGAAAACACAGAAGTGGAGAGAGAAGGAAGCCACCAAGCCGGCCAGTGGCTCTTGCTGGCTAAGCAAAAAGCAGTGTCCTCATGACAAAGCTGCTCAGCTCACTCAGAGGGGCAGCTCAGCTGCTGTGCCCAGAGGCCCCTTCCAAAGGGGACTAGGAATCCCTTCCAAAGCTTCTCACCTCACCCCTGCCCATGCCACCTCCCAACACACACACACACACACACTCAAACTGGGGCTCCCAGACCAGCTCAGCCAGAGGCAAATTAGAGAAACTGGCAACACCCATTCAAAAAAAGCCCTGGTGCCTGACATTCCACCATTATACATCTAACCCTTAAGCCCTGCTTTGTGCTCGGGTCTTTCAGATCCCCCTTGAAGGCACATCATGTTCTCTTTGCATCCAGTGACTAATGTCTCTCCGGCACCCCGCCCCTTCCTATGTCTTCACACCTTTGCCCCCCGTGCAGTTTTCACCACCTCCTCTCCCTGCCCTACCTGCACCTGCTGAACGCTGCATTCCTCAAAAACCAGTTCCAGGGCCCCTTCCCTTGGCAGTACCTTCCCCAACCCTCCCAATAAAGCAACTCAGTTACCCCTTCAATGTGCCCCTTGTCCCCAAAGCACTCTGTACATGTGCTGGACCCTGTGCTCATGAAGCCACAGATGGAGGTGTTGGATTAGTGCCAAAGCACGAAAACCCTCAGTTCAAAGACTTATGGCCCAAGGTTCTGATTAGATGGCAAATACATGGACCAGAAGTTCTGATTCTCGCATCTCTACGTTGGGATCCACAGAGGAGCAACGCAAATCCAGATTCATCACAAAACCAAACCCAGTGCCACAGGCAAAGGGCTGGTCTGTTCTCAGCTGCCTTTCGCTCTGACACTTATGTCTCCTCGGTTCTTAATGGCTCACAAAGTCATTCTCTACCAACAGAGGGCCAGTGTCGCATTATGCAAAGAAAATGCTTCTTAAAATCCCCAAACCAACCTTTCCTCTCAGGAAAGTTCAGCTCTATAGCAGTCTGTGCCTGCGCCACCTCTTGCTCTGCAGAATGTTTGTAGAGGCTTCCGGTTTACTGCTGAATCACACTTCCGGGAAGAGCCCAGAGTTTTCCTGCGCATTTCCTTCCACCACCTACTGATCTCTGCTTCCTTGTTCACTAGTTTTCTATCCCCAGCAATAAGCAATTACTGCACTGGCAGGAACAGGCCCCCAAAGTTTCAAGGATGTTGTTTGTTTCCTCTTAAAACTTACTCTGGAGTTCATGAACACATAAGGGGGGTGGGCAGTGTGAAGACCCTGTAATTAGGTGCAGAATGGTGTGTGTATTGACAACCACTTTGCTGGGGAAGGTTCATAGCTTCCTCCTCTTCTCACCAAGGTCTAGCCCCCCTGCAAAAGGGTGAGAACTAAGATCATATAGTGAATGGGGTCACCTTAGAGGCCTGGGCCTCCTAAACTGGACATGTCATCCTCTCTGAAATCAAATCAAAGTGCTTTTGGCCTTAGAATGTCCACTTTCTTGGACCCTCCGTTCGCTCCTTCACTCCATCATCAGCCCCAGCCACTGGCTCTCCTTTCAGAACCTTTTTTTTTTTAAGAGGTGGGGACTCACTGTGTTGCCCAGGCTGGAGTGCAGTGGCTACTCACAGGCAATCTCACTACCAATCAGCACAGGAGTTTTGACCTGCTCCGTTTCTGATCTGAGCTGGCTCACCCTCCTTTGACAACCTGGTGGTCCCCCACTCCCCAGGAGGTCATCATATTGATGCCAAACTTAGTGCAGATACCCAATGGTATCTACAGCCCAGAACTCCAGGGCTCAAGTGATCCCCAGTGTGTGCATTTGAGTAGCTGGGACTATAGGCATGCACCACTGTGCCTGGCCAGAACCATTTTTGACACAGAGTTTTCAGGACTTCATGGGATTTACTACTTTCCAGCTAGTAGAAAAACCAAAATGGTGCTGAGAATCTGAAGCTGGCAGAGCACTAGGTTCACCCAGTAGCTAATGCCCACTTCCGTACACCAGCCTGGCAGCCCCAATTCCCCAAATAAAACCTGCACCTCAGCTATGAATCTCTCCAATCGCCAAAGAGTCAAACCTTGAAGGTCAAGTCTGAGGACTTAGGTGTGGTGCAGCTCCATTAGAGCATCACATACAATGCCTGTCCCAGGACCCAGTGGGTCCCTGACATGGAAGGGACACCATGCTGCAGAAAGCAGATGGGGCAGGTCTCATGCTCCCCATTTTCAAGCTGGTGTAGTTGAGGTGTCCAAGGTCACAGAATTGTTCTTAGAAGCCGAAGGCAGACTAGGACCCAGTAAGCAGGTGGTCCATGTCTGTCTTGCAAGCTGATGAATGATGGAGGAGGGGAGGATGCCTCCGGCCTGGCCAGGCCCCAGTCAGCACAGGGCATTGACAGGAGGGACAGGCAGAGGAGATGGCATCGGTGCAGGAGCCTGAGGAGGGCTGGGGTGGGAGGGCTGGGCTTTGACAGCTGCCTGCTCCAGCTGCTGCCCACGCCCCCACTCCCCGGGCCAGCATAGAGCATGGCAGAAATCAAAGCTGCCATCCCAATTCCCAATGTGACTTCGGTATAAAGGTTAATCACACCCGGAAAATGCTTATTAGAGACCATAAATAACTATGTTGCTGAAGCTCAGTTTAGTCTTTAAGGCACAAAAGTACAATTTCCTTTGATGGGATGACTTGGTAATTAACCTTTTGGGGAGGGTCCTGAAGGGCCACTCGTTGCTGAAGCTCAGTTTAGTCTTTAAGGCACAAAAGTGCAATTTCCTTTGATGGGATGACTTGGTAATTAACCTTTTGGGGAGGGTCCTGAAGGGCCACTGGAGGGAGGGAGGGGTGGCCTAGAGGCAGCTGGGGCTGTCCCCACGTCCTAAAAGTTCCAGAGGAACAAGGAGAAGAGGGCCTGCCTTCCCTCCTCTTTCATTGGCTCTGATGCTCAGCTGGGGAGAGCCCCCCAGGAGCAAGGGACTGAGCTGGCCTCTGACAGAGCCACAGCTGCAGTTCTAGAGGGATCTTTCAGCAAGATTCCAGCCTCCTGCTGAGTTCTGAGCCTAGTCCTGCCACTGACTGTGCGACTTTGGGCGAGTCACCTGGCCCATCTGGGACTCAACTTCTTCAGCTGTGATGCAGGGACAATGTGGTCTTTCTTACCCATATCATGGAGATGAGGACCACCTGGGAGGAGATGAAGAGAGGAATGCTTCTGAAATTTAAAGTCCCCTACAAGTGTCAGCTGGATCGTTATCATGACTTGGCTACTCTAGGCCCCAGAGTCCTCCAGAATCTCCCTCGGTGACAGAGAGGGCTGACCGGGAGGAGCAGGTTCCCTCCCAGGCCCTGGGGGAGGGGCTGCAGGCAGGACCCAGGCCTCTCCCCACCCTCGGTCAGGCTGTTCTGCCTTCTCTGTAAGCTTTCCTTTGGGAAGGTGTTTTTCAGCTTAAAAGGAAAGTTGTGTTTTTGTTTTTAAAACCACCAGATTTAGTGATCTCTCTAACCCCCTGCTGGACTGGGATTCTACATTTAAGGAGTCCAGGACTAAGTGCATGATTTGAAAAAAAAAGGAAAGGACTTCAGAAGAGGTGGAGAAGGACAGACACACACACAGGACAACAGCAAGACAAGGCGGACATAGCTGAGGTCTGTGGAGTTTCAGGCAGGGCCGCACAATGTGACCGTGGGGCAGGCTTCCTGCGGGAGGTGAGTTTGAGGATGGGCACGGCGAACACTGTCTGTCAGAAGGATAGAGAGGATCTTCCAGGCAAGGGGAGGGTCCTGAGTTTGTGGGGGGTGGGACCAGCTGCATGTGGAGGGGCTCAGACACTGGGCTGAGATAGATCCAGTAGGCCAGGAACACCGAGCTGGATTTCTGAGCAGCAGACTGTCATAGCTTCAACTTCACAGTTTGCAGGTGTGGAAACTGAGGCCCCAAGAGGGCAAGTGAGAGCCCATAGGAGGCAGTTCAGTAGGTTAGGGAAGAAACCTTGCCTGCCCTGTCCTGCAAGACTGTGGCAGACCCTGGCTTGTGGCCCATCAGAGGCCCCTGAGTCTGTGTGGCCAAGATGGCAGCCTTCCCTGGTGTCCCCAGACGCAAGGCCCCCATCACACACCACCACCTGCTGGCCGAGGTCCTGGGGTCCTCAGGCTCCACAACCCCAGTATCTGACCCTTCTGACTGCCTTGCTCCTCACTGTGTTCAGGTGTAGCCTGTTTAAAGCAAAGCCAAGAGAAGAAACCCTAAATGGGAAACAGAGGAGGGGCCATCAATCAACATTTCTTTACAAAGCTGGCTCCCTTGTTGCATTTAAAAACTAGGATCTGGTTTGCAGAAATAAAATATGTGTGCAATCAACTCTTCAAAAATCTGTCTGTGCCTACAGGGGATATATCTGTAATCACCTGCTGATTGAATACCGGGGAGGGCAGGGCCACACATGCAACTGCATGGTTTCTGCACAGCACAGGTGCCGGGGGAGGGGTCAGTGGCAGCTAGAATGGCAAGCTGTGCACAGCACAGCAGAGACCCTCAGG